CCTCGGCCTCCCAAAGTGTTGGGATTACAGGCGTGAGCCACCACGCCCGGCCACGCCAAGCTAATTTTTGTATTTTTTTGTGTGTGTGGTGATAGGGTTTCGCCATGTTGCCCAGGCTGATCTTCAACTCCTGGGCTTAAGCGATCCTTGCTCCCCAGCCTCCTAAAGTGCTGGGATTACAGGTGTGAGCCACCATGCCCAGCCCTCTGTTTAGCTTCTTGAGGACGCACCACACTGTACATTTGCTTTGCCATTCTGCAGTCCCACTGGGAAAAGGGCTCCAATTTCCCCACATTCTCACCAACACTTGTTATTTTCTGTTTCTTTGAAAGTAGCCATCCTGGGGGTTTTGCTTTCAATGCAGTCTCTCTTTTTGCCTCTGCAGAGGGTTCACCCAGCCTTCTTATCTGTTTCAGGACAATGGGAATTTTTTCACATACACAGGTAGTGGTGGTCGAGATCTTTCCGGCAACAAGAGGACCGCGGAACAGTCTTGCGATCAGAAACTCACCAACACCAACAGGTTCGTGGAATGAGCCTTCTTATTTCCTTGCCGGCACACATCTGCCGAGTCCTTGGTTCTGTTCTGGGCCTCATGTCCAGCAAGTGATAGTCTCATTACGAGCTTGGTAGAACATAGTGATGCCTGGCATTTGGTTCCTCTCTTCTTTTTTTTTTTTTTTGATGGAGTTTTGCTCTTGTCCCCCAGGCTGTAGTGCAGTGGTACCATCTTGGCTCACTGCGACCTCTGCCTCCCAGGTTCAAGTGATTCTCCTGCCTTAGCCTCCTGAGTAGCTGGGATTACAGGCGCCTGCCACCATGCCTGATTACTTTTTGTACTTTCAGTAGAGACGGGGTTTCACCATCGAGATGGGGTTTCATCATGTTGGCTAGGCTGGTCTCCAACTCCTGACCTCAGGTGATCTGCCTGCCTCTGTCTCCCAAAGTGCTAGGATTACAGGTGTGAGCCCCTGCGCCTGGTCTGGTTCCTCCCTTCTATGTGCCACATACTGTGAGCCATTCAGATGGATGAGAGCAAACTTCCCTATAAAAGGTCAGAGAACAGGCATCTTGGTTTTTTTTTGTTTGTTTGTTTGAGATAGGATCTTGCTCTGTTGCCCAGGCTGGAGTGCAGTGGTGCAATCTCTGCTCGCTGCAACCTCTGCCTCCTGGGCTCAAGCAATTCTCCTGCCTCACCCTCCTGAGTCGCTGGGATTACAGGTGCTTGCCACCTCACCTGGTTAATTTTTGTATTTTTAGTAGAGATGGGGTTTCGCCATGTTGGTCAGGCTGGTCTCGAACCCCTGACCTCTGGTGATCCGCTCTCCTCGGCCTCCCAGTGTTGATATTACAGGCATGAGCCACTGCGCCTGGCTGATAGTAGGTATCTTAATGCTGGGCCCGGTGGCTCGCGCCTGTAATTCTTGCACTTCAGGAGGCCGAGGCTTGAGGATCAATTGAGTTCAGGGAGTTCAAGACCAGCCTGGGCAATGTAGTGAGACACCCCATCTACAAAAAAGTAAAAATAAAAAAATGAGCTGGGTGTGTTAGCGCGTGCCTATAGTCACAAGCGACTCAGGAGGCCGAGGCAGGAGAATCACTTGAGCCCAGGAGGCCGAGGCTGCAGTGAGCTGAGATTGCGCCACTGCACCCCAGCTTGAGCAACAGACTGAGATCTTGTTTCCAAAAAAAAAAAAAAAAAAAACCTCCAAAATAGATTGCTTCTGGCTGGGCTCGGTGGCTCACGCCTGTAATCCCAGCACTTTGGGAGGCCGAGATGGGCGGATCACGAGGTCAGGAGATTGAGACCATCCTGGCGAACACAGTGAAACCCCGTCTCTACTAAAAATACAAAAAAATCAGCCGAGTGTGGTGGCGGGCACCTGTAGTCCCAGCTTCTAGGGAGGCTGAGGCAGGAGAATGGCGTGA